TTTTTCTATAAGTTTTATTCTCTGAAATGAGCAACAATAAAATATTGAAACTTTTCAAGATTATAAAATACATCTATTAAATTACATTGAAATGAACAGAAATGATTTATCTTAATTTGGTGCAAACTGTTTTCTACATGATGAAAGTAAATAAATATTATTCTTGGCTTAGTGTGGAGACGTTTATAGAGAATATATGAACTAAATAAATACTGTGATTGATGCAAAGAGGGACAACATAGATAAAGTTTGAGTGAATCTGTATTTTCTAACTATCATTAAATGAATATAAGTTAAAATAGCTGTAAGAAAATCATGAAATTAAAGTCTTTTTTTATTTAAGCCACATATTAATGTTTAAGCTTTGAAAAGAGGCTCTCAGGTGATGTGTTTTAACTACCTGGTGGGCGGGGGTGTGAGAAGAACGGTCTGTGGTGGCGTAGCTCCAGATGCCATTACTGTCGTCATGGATACAGGGTATGGGCTCCCAGACTGCACTGCAGCCACGGCGCTGGGATGGACGTTGGTCTGAACTGGCATGGGAGTGAACTGGATGATCTGAAAGGAGAAACAAAGAGATGGAGTTAATAAAAATACACATTTATAGATACATTAAAGGACTCTGCATGACATCGGAAAGAAAATCTAGCTCCTTTTTTTTACTGGATTTAACTTCTGGAATATCTTCATGCTTTAAAAATGTTCAAGTCAGACATTTTTCAAACAGCTGACCTTTAAATGAATAGGAGAGATGCTTTAAGTTTTACTTTGCTTGTTCTTTGAATGCAGCATCAGCACCAAGAGACGGAAACTTTTAACAAAAGCTTAAAAGCCTTTAAAATAAAGTCCAACAGGTTAAAGAACCGGCAGAGAGTTTATAGACAGTTTTACTGAGATTAGCTAAAGCCTTGATGTGCAGGAGGTAAACCAGTTCAGGTCTTGGCTGGATAATCTTTTTTTTTTATCTTTTAGATTTTCAGACGTTCTTTGATTTTGTGCTTGTAGTAGAGATGTTCAAGTTAAGACTCAAGTCTTTGAAGGGCAAAGATCAAACGGTTGAATAAACATTTTCTTATGAAATCCACAATATCTAGGTCACCTCCAACGCAGCATCGCTGTGGGTTAGGAATAAAAAAAACTAATCGATCCTGTAGATTCTCACTGCTCTGAGAAGGTTGCAAGTACCCAGTTTGATCCCCACAGCCTGCACTCTGGGTCCCTGAACAAGACCCTTAACCGGGTTAGGGTCTTGCACAATGGTAGCCCACTGCTCCCCAAGGGGAGGGGTTAAATGCAGAGTGAATTTCTCCAGGGTGAAAAGTTCAATTATTATTATTATTATATAAATAACTAAAAAGAGCATCTAAGGATGATTTTTTTATCACTCAACATTTAATTCTCTAGAGAGAAAAAAAATCACTTAGAAATATAAACAGGCCTTTAGAAAAAACAGCAAGAGTTCAACACTGGTTATTGTTAATTTTTTTGGCCTCTTTTTGGTTGTAATTAATAAGTTAACAGAGGTTAAGTTCTGTTTTTTATTGGCCTAAATTCAGAAAGCTTTCTTCTCTTTACTCTCTGCTAGAGTCCGTGAGGCAGACACCCTGTCTACTTTTAAGGCTAGGCTTAAAACTTTCCTTTTTGATAAAGCTTCTAATTAGAGTGGCTCAGGTTATCCTGATCTATCTCTATAGTTCTGCTGCTATAGGCTTAGACTGCTGGAGGACATAGGGACCCCTTTTTCATCATTCTGCTTCATTCTATCTCTATTCTCCCACTCTGCAGAATCTGTTAGTTCAATCTCTAACGTTCTGCTCTCTCTGCTTTTTCTCATAGTAGCTTCATCTGGTCTGTTCCTGTTTGGCTGTGACTCCATCCTGGAGAGAAATATCAGCTGTGCTGCTGCCATCAACACCTTTGTTTCTAGATGCTGGAGATCGGCCTGTTTTTCAGTGTAGTACTGTTTCTGACTATAACTGGCTAGATTTGCTCTCTTCATCCTCTGACATGTCTTGAAACTCGTCTGCCTGGCTGTGTGTTTCCTGGACGGGGCCGCCTTTTACAGCTGTTTTTTCTATGTCTGCTTCTGTCTCCTTGAACCCCAGTCGGCCTCAGCAGATGGCCGCTCACACTGAGCCTGGTTCTGCTGGAGGTTTCTTCCTGTTAAAAGGGAGTTTTTCCTCTCCACTGTCGCTACAAGCATGCTTAGTGTGAGGGATTGCTGAAGAGTCAATGAGTCGATGCAATCAACTGGTTTTCCTTAGATAGGAAACTTTGAATTAATTTGACTGGATGATCTGGTGAACTGTAAAAAGCCTTGAGATGACGTGTTGTGAATTGGTGCGAAATAAAGAAACGGAATTGAATTGAAAAGTTTAAAAAATATTGGGAAACAATATTCTCACACATTCAGCACCTTGGTTCTTCTAAATGTATGGAACAGGAAGTGCTTTTATTTTGATATTTCCATCTAGTTTCTCAGTGAAGCACGTCTTGTTGTATCATGTTGACGATGATGATGATGTTATGGTTTTCCATGTTGACGTCCTCACCTTGTTTCCGGTGGAAGTGCCGTTCTGCACAGGAAGAGGCGGGGCCACCAGGGAGATGGAGGGCTGAGGAGGCGTAGACCCTGTCCTCACTGTTGCCATGGGAACCAACATCTTGCTCTGCAACACTGGTGACTGGGTTTGGACTAATGAGTGAGAAGAAAACAGAGAGAGAGACGGAAGGAGGGATGAGTCGGTCTGTGTGAGGCACAGATGGAGATCAGAGAGGAGGTTTCAGATGCTGATAGGAGAGAGAGGCTTCTGACTTTGAGGACCACAGAGGTTAAAGTCGGTGGCGGAAGCCCGTTATTCTATATTTCCAGTTTATTAAGGTAACTAAATTTATTTAGACAGAGAAGAAGAAGTAAGGTTTGTATTTGGACTCTCCGCCAGCCAGGTGTCCCCTCCTGTCTCACCTCTGATCCCCACCCCAGGCTGCACCCCGCCGGTCAGCAGGGGAACGATGTGCTGGTTGGTAAGCTGAGGAGTGAGTGGGGTCTCAGTGGGCGGGATGCGCTGGACTTCCAGCGAAGGTTTATGCTGGGTGGGAGGTGTGATGGAGGAGGTGGGGTGATGCTGGACGGGTGGGAGGATTTGGGGCTGTGGGCTGATGAGCTGCAGGGGCTGTGCAGCAGGGAGGTAAAGGCTTGTGACCAGGCTGCTGTTGCCCACAGAGTTTACAGTAAGTGGACCAGGGGGGGAGGATGACGATAGGTACCCACCCCCTGCAGTGAGCTGGGCTCCACCAATCAGAGGACTGGATTTCTTCTCCAAGCTGATGGCGGAGGCTCCATCCACTGGTTGGCTGGCAATGGGAATGGGCGTGCTGGTGGCCACGTTGGTCACCACTGTGGGGGTCACCTGGACCCCGCTAAGGACCTGACCAACTGACGCGCTCTGCCCCCCCTCTCCTTCTGATGATTCCTTTTTCCTAGGTCCACTCTCCTCCTCCTCCTCCTCCTGTGCGTCCCTCTTCCTCTTCCAGTCTGCTCCATCTTCAGGATCTTCTGCCTTTCCATTTCCCTTCACAGAGGGGGAGTCAGGCTGAGGGATGGAGGGAGAGGGGCAGAGGAGGGAAGAGCGAGCTTCTGGCTGGAGGCCATGCTGGAGGAAAGAGAGGAAAAATATTCAAGTTTTTTCATTAGGAAAAAAAAAATCCTGCATCTAATTTTAGACGAAGAGTTTCTCTAAAATTTCACCAGAAATTATTTTAAAAAAAACCTGCCAGGGTTTGCAGATGATCTAAACTTAGATCAGACCTTTATGAGGAAGAAAAGACATTTAGTTGAATAAACTACAATGCATTTTAAAGTTTAAACCTTAAACTGCATACAGAAGATTACAGCTTTTCAACCAAGAAATGTGTTTGAAAAGGATTTCAGTTTCCAGAGTGTGAGAATAAAATGAAAAGGAGGATCTAATCCCATCTTTAAAGTTGCTTTTTTGAAACAACAAAGTGTATTTCTTGATTTTTTTTTTTTATTATTTTAATTATTTTTTAATCATTAAAACATCATTCTCAGGTAAAACAAAAAAAAAATTCTAAATGATTAAATTGCATTTGAACCTGTTCCATCTATTAAAATGGAAAGTAATTTTTTCTGTGACTTTTAAATTCAGAACATCTAAGCTAATTTATGCATGCAAAATATAATCTGGTTTCCATTGTGTTTAGTGCCCTAATCTAAATAAACCTCCTTTTTTTATTAAAACATGAAACATGTAGTAGTTGGAGGAAAAAAAGGTCAAAAATTAAAACAAATGAAAAAAAAGAAAAAGAAAAAAGGAAGACTAAGGAAAAAGAAAGAAGATGAAAAAATAAAATTTGAAAAAAGTAAATGTGTCGAAACATCGTAACAGTGAGAAAAAGGGAAAAAAAACCGAAGAATGAAAGAAATAAAAAAGTTGAAGACAAAACAAAAGAGGAGAAACAAGAATAAAAACTGAGAAACAAAATAGAAAGTTAAAAAGAACAAAAAAAAAAGTAAATAAATGAAAAATGAGAAAATTGGATGAAACAGAAGAAGTCAGCAAAAAAAGCTTTCAGTTCATATTGTGGCATCTGGCTGTTTTTTTTAAAGTTTACTTTATACTTTTATACTTTAAGTAGTTTTTGAAGCAGATACTTTTTCTTTTTTACTTGAGAAAACAGGTCAAGTTGATACTTCAACTTTTAATAGTTTTTTTTAAACAGCAGTATCTATACTTCTACTTAAGTTACAAATGTGTGAACTTTTGACACCGCTCCACTGTCACAATCTGTATTAGAAGAAATAAATGGCCCCCCATCTAGCTCCGCCCCTGGGTAGAAAACATAAACCCATTAAAATTTCAAACCAAATCCCTTCCTCCATAATGTGTCTGATGTAATGTCACTATAAATGTTCACTCCTATTGCATATTTTTGTTTAATTTATTGCTAAATATTGCAGGTTTCCGTCGCCATTAAAAAGCCATTATAATGAGTGATCCTCCACCAACCTGTCCATCCGGTTCATCTTCATCGCTGTCTGTAACTCTCTCTTTGCACTTGAGGTCAATGGAGCCTTCAGGGCAGGAATCCTCTGAGGGTGGAAACACGAGGTGTGTTAATGATACAATAACATTACAGCAGAGCACACTAAAGGCAAAAACATTTACATGTTACAACATGATCAAAACATAAATAACTCATCTGATTTATACCAAGTCTTAAAATAAGAAATATAACATCAGATCAACAATATTAGTGTCAATATAAAATAAAAAATCTGAACCAATTCTAAAGAATTTCCTTCAGGTAGCAATAACTATGCGACCTGGATCTGATCTTTTCATGACAGTCTGAACGACACAGATCTGATTTTTTCCAATGCGACCAAGGCCACTTGGCTCTGTGGTCCTGAATCCAATATGAATCTGATCTTTTCAAATGCGACCTGTGTCTGAACGGCCAGGTCGCATTCATCTGACCTGAACGCCATTAATAGCCGACATTTCTGCGTCCTGCTACACAGAAGCGGCAAGAAAAACAACAACCGTGTTGGACGATGATACTGAGAGCAGTATTTATGTTTAACCATCTTGAAATGATTGTGTTTTTAAGGTTGGGTAAGATCGCTAGATGTGCTGCTGTGCTACCATCCATGTTTACTTCCGTAAACACAGAGCACGCTGGCTTGTGACATCATTGCGTCCTCAACTGTGCATGTGGGACACTTAGGTGAAGTTTATGAATGCAGTTTAAACCGGAGATAACGGGCGTGCAGGTGACTAAGTGGTTAGCACGCACGACCCATGTACGTAGGCCTTAGTCCTCGACGCAGGCGACACGGGTTCGAATCCGGCCAGTGGTCCTTTTCCGCATGTCTCTCCCCTCTCTCATCATACCCCCTTTCCTGTCAGCCTACTTCTGAAAAAATTAGCCACGAGTGCCGTAAACACTAAAAAAAATAAAATAAAAAAACACGAGATGACATACGAGTCAAATATTTGGAAAAGCCAACGGAAAAAAAATAGGAATTTACCAAAAAAATGTGATTGTTTGATGTTTTTCACATGTGGAGATATTTCAGTTCAATCTTCTCAACAACATTCAGTTGTTACAACTTGTGTCACTGAAGTTCGCATTGAAAAAAAATGGAACCTCCCATCATGTGAGGAAATAATAACTGTATATTTAGCCAACTTATGCAAGCATATAGCTGTGGTAGTCTGCAAAAACCAGCATCAGATCAGTCTGCCCATCTCATTTACATCTACATACCTTTGTGCACGTAGTTTTTCTGCATTATTATTGACCAAAAACAAGTTTTAAAAAAAAAGCTCAGATCGATGTAACATCAGTAATATGTGGAAACACACAAGCCTGCGAAGGTGTGCACAGTTAACAAGCATTGCTCAGTACAATCACATATCGATTGTACGGTCCTTTTCGGGCCGATTCTCCAGTCGTGTGAGACTTTCGATCGGGCAAAGTTTCAGCCTGATTGTGCGTCCTGCGTCGTATGGTGTACAGGGGGGTAACGAGGGGTGATCAGCCTCTCACGACCACCTCCCGATCAGGTATCGCAAGGTTGGGAGAAAATCAAACATAACGCACGTAAAGTGTTTGTGTGCAAATCCTGCTGTTGAAGCAGAGCTACAAGCCGATTTACCGGAACCTCGAGCACCTTGATTCGCAAACAAGGGAGTTCTTCTTCTTCAAGATTGACGAGTCCAACCAGCTCCATCTATCGCCGCTGAGTCGGACGTGAGGTTTTTAGACATACAGTGAGAGCAGGTAGATCGCGTCAGAGCATCGAGCTGCACAGTGTGAGAACATGCATCGTCGTAGAGTTTGAGCTCTAGCTGCGTGCAACGATTGAAAATATCGCAAAGTGTAATGAAAAATAAAATAAAGCCGAAGTTTCTGCGATTACTTATTATACTTTGTCTCATTACAAATGTACTTTACACCTTATATTTAATAATTTAGCTGTTTAGAATAAGAACAATGCTTCTAAAGTAGATTTTTAAAATGGCTTCTGATGTTATATGAAAATATGTCAACTTTAGGCTCATTGTTTAAAGGAAAATGTTGCATAAGTCTTTGGTTCATTCAGATGAAAGTTTAGAAATTTGTGAAGCTTTCATTCTGACTCCATTCAAACAGCTCGGCTTGATTGGACTTTTTTTTAATCCTCCATTAAAGATCTTAAATATTCAACACTAACAGAAGCCTTTAAAGTCTCAAACTGAGCTTTTTTCATAGATTTACATTTTTTATCAGTGGTTAACAAACAAAGCAAATGCAAATTACGTTTAGTCTTATTTTCCTTTCTGACTCAGATGAAGAATTGTTGATTTTCCTTTTGTTTTGATGCGTTCAGCTTAAAAACAGAACCAGGTCTGCAGGAACTGCCTGCTAGTATCACCGTAACCAAGCTGTAATCTCTGGGCTATTTTAGCTGCAGTGCTGTAACACAGTTTAATGTCTGCACTCACGAGATGACAGATCTGTGGGTTTTTTTCAGCTCTGACGTGTTTCGCTCTGACTAAGAAGGATGAATTTCCTGACCATCATGAGAAATGAAACCACCCCTTTGCGGGGATGAAGAAGTCTCTCTCTCTCTCTGTAACCGCCGCCGCTCTGCTCAGCCAAACTTACCCATCACATCATCGTCTCCTTCTTCCTCACAGATGACCATTCGCTCCTCGTCGCTCGTAACGTCCTCGTTGGCTCCGCCTTGGTACAGCGACTGAAGCGGCGGTCGGTTTCGAAACAAGCTTGTTCCCTCCTCCTGACAGAACAGAGAAAAACAAAACAGCGAAATAATAAAAATCCAAAGCGTTTATTTAAATATTCAAGCATATTTCACAGAAACAAAACTGCATTTGGTAACACCACAAATTGTAATTTTCTTTGCTTTTAATATGGTGTCAGTAAAGCACTATTATACTAATTTATTATATCAAACTTTTTAAATAACGTTAAAAAAATCCTCAGACATGATAATAATAACTAAAACCCAAATATTTCCATACACAGCAAAGACAAATAACCTTTTATTTGACAATATCTGTGCTAAATTCAGACTAGAGATAAACTAATGCAGGTTATTTTTAAGGCCAATGCCCATACCGATTATTATGACATCTGTTTAACTGATCCCCGATATGTGCTGCTGATAGTTTATTCCTTAGAGCTGATATTGTTTTTCTTCCCCGAGTTACAAGATAAAATGACAACAGTGACAACAAACTTCACACAGGTCTCAATTTAAAGAAAAAAAACATCCATATAGCAACAAATCAGACTAAACGTTAGCAGTGGAGGGAGCAGCAATGCATGCGCTTTATGTGATCTAAAACATTGCTCCTGAATGCACCCTAACTTTTTTTCTGCTTCCCCCTTTTTTTTAGGAACAGTTAAACAGCAGTTAATTAAATATTAAAATAACACAAACTACTTTAAATCACTAAACTAGGGAGCCCCTAAAGGGACATGGAGGGAAAAAATAAACTTTCTTCAGGATCCCGCAATACTTTTTCGAGATCTCGCAATATTTTTGCAGGATCCCACAATAGTTTTTCGAGATCTCGAAAAACTATTGCGGGATCCTACAAAAATATTGCGAGATCTCACAAAACTATTGCGAGATCCTGCAAAAATATTGCGAGATCTTGCAAAAGTATTGCGGGATCTCGCAAAAGTATTGTGAGATCCTGCAAAAGTATTGCGGGATCTCGCAAAAAAATAAACTTTTGCGAGATCTCGCAATACTTTTGAAAGATCTCGCAAAACTATTGCGAGATCCTGCAAACATATTGCGAGATCTCGCAAAAGTATTGCGGGATCTCGTAAAAAAATTTACTTTTACGAGATCTTGCAAAAGTATTGCGAGATCTCACAAAACTATTGTTGGATCCTGCAAAAATATTGCGAGATCTCGCAAAAGCATTGCGAGATCCTACAAAAGTATTGCGGGATCTCGCAAAAGTATTGCGGGATCTCTCAAAAAAATTAACTTTTGCGGGATCTCGCAAAAGTTATTTTTTCCCCTCCATGTCCCTTTAGGGCAGGGGTCACCAACGTGGTGCCCGTGGGCACCAAGGGGCCCTCAAGGACAACATGGGGTGCCCTCAGCATCTTTTGAAAACAGAACAATTCACCAGTGGACTAAATCTGAATCTTATTTTGAAGCATTTATGAAGCATTTTATCATATCAATAAATTAGAACATTTGAGAATTTATATGGATTTCATAATGAGAATATCTAAAAGCAAATTAAAAATGAAAAGAAACAATAGAAATATGTTTATTATCTATAAAGTTCAGGTGAACACCGACTCCTCTAGTTCATACAGGGTTTTTTTTTCAATTACTTTCCACCAAGCCTCCTGCAATTACACAGCACCACCCCTAGGGTGCCTAGTTTGGGAACTACCGCAACTCTGGCGTTACCGATACAAGGAAAAAACATTTTTGTCTGCAGCAATTCCTTTTTCAATAACTTAAAGAGGCATTCAAGAATTTTCTATTGATACTGCCGCCTGTGGCCAAAACATAGAACTGCAGCACTCTTCTGCTTGTTCTCATAGCTTGCGCTTTAGATTCTAAATGTTTTGTTACAGTCATATGTGTCCTGAAGCCTGTGTACGAGGCTCACAAATGAAAAAAACCTTTCACCTCAATCGTTTCCTTTCACTGCCTCTAAACAAATGTGTTGTAAAAATGCTCTGTTTTAAAAGCATGCCCATTATGATGTCATAAGGGGAATTAAGCCATCCAGAGTGGTCTGTAGCAGCCCATCTGTTAAGCTATAGGCTTCATCTAATGTATTATTCTGTGCTCTTAGTCTATCTTTATGAACTCTGACTGGTTGTCATGGTTGCGGGTTGTGGGAGTGTGGCCTTTGGGGGACGGGGGCGGGGAAAGCTAAAACAGCTTGTTTAGAAGAGGACTGAATGAGGAGATGTTCGGTAAAGGCCGTCTTCCTAATCCGAGAAGAGTTTTCATGTAAAAAAAAATGGTAAAAGCAAGCTATGGGGGCCTCATTGTTAATTTTTGTATTTTCAAATGTAGCATGAATATATTATATTTTTTCACATTGGTGGAGTTGCCATTGCTGTCTGAGTTGGGCTGGATGCTGGGTGGCTAAAATATTTGTATCCCTCACCTAACTTTGGCAAATAATCATCAAAAGTCCCCAAATCCACACAGTTTGTTGTTGATGAAGAGAGGAATAAACACAGTTAAAGACTTGCAGGTAATTTAATTTATTCCAATGTTATTGAGGGGGAATTGTTATGTGTGATAGCATGTATTATACTTGAAATTTCTTTACTCCAGTTATATTTTACATTAGAACAGGATTTACCAGAAAGTCTACTCTCTCATCTTCACCCTCAGGGCGAAGCCCCTGATCTCCTAGAATCCTAGATCCTCCCCTGCTTAACACTTTTAATGTAAGCTTCGCAGGGTAAAGGTACAGAGTCACAGCACTTGGCTCATTATTTGGAAACGGATACGAGCCCTAAAAAAAAGTTCTAATATCTCAGTGACAACAGTAAACTGGTGATGTGACACAGTGGCGTAGGGAAGGATTGTTGAGTGTTTTTTTACTAAAGCGGAGAAAATTTTAGTAAAATGATTGTTTCCTCAAGCTGTTATATACACACAACAAAAAATGTAAATCTCAATAAGTCATTTTTTCTTAAATTAAGTGCATTTTTTCTTGAATTAAGGAGGTAAGTGAGACACTTTGCCAATGGAAAAAGACAATTTATATTTAAAATAAGAAAAAAATCTATTGCATTGTCTTATTTCAAGTGCATAATATCTAGTTATCTTATTTTAAGAGTTAAAATACTCATTCCATTGGCAGATCATCTTATCTATCTACTCAAATTAAGGGTAAATACACTTAATTTTAGACTTTTTTACTCATTTTTAGATAATTTTTGCAGTGTATGATATCAGTAAATATTGGTTATTGAAAAAAAAGCATAATATTTGAAAGGACACTTGGAGAGAAAGAAGCTGTCTTTCCAGGGACAATAGTTCACACTTTGGAATAAGAACCTTCATTCTTGGAAACATTTCCTAAGTTCTAAGAAAAAATACATTTAAGTGTTTGGTCATATTTGACCACCAGAAATTATGGGAAAAGCCTCCAAGCCTGATCATAACTTTCAATTAGTGAAGACAGGAAACATTTTTTCCCCACTGCCATTAGACTGCTAAATGCTGTATAAAATGGGACTTAATAAAAATATAAATAAAAAATAATCCCTGAATGTTGGAATCTGTTTGTTTACATTTATCACTGTTGCACTTAAAAAAGTTGTAGTGAATGAAATGTCTTTTTGTATACACTCTGTGCTTACAAAATGACAATAACTCTGTCTAAGTCTAACTACAGAATGTGGTGCGTTTTCCTGCAGGAGGGACTGGTGCATTATAGAAAATAGATGGCATCTTGAAATTAGAACATGATGGAGAAAAAGTTTTGATTCAGTGAGCAATCTGGACGCTCAGCAAACAGCCCCAAACAAATGCTTTTAGTGCACTGCAAAAAATGTAAATCTCAATAAGTCATTTTTTCTTGAATTAAGGAGGTAAGTGAGACACTTTGCCAATGGAACAAGTCAATTTACATTTAAAATAAGAAAAAAACTATTGCATTGTCCTATTTCAAGTGTATAATATCTAGTTAAAATACTCATTCCATTGGCAGATCATCTTATTTACCTACTCAATTAAGGGTAAATACACTTACTTTTAGACTTTTTTACTCATTTTTAGATCATTTTTGCAGCGTGCAGCTAGTTCAATGTATTTGTGTCAATCACAAAGCTCTGAACTTCGTCCTAAATAGAACCTTTGGGCCGGGCTGGGCAGGTGTGTGTCAACAAACCACACCCAGTTGCACCCAGGTGGAATGTAACCTGACTCCGCCAGATGGATTTGCTCCGCATATCCATCTGGAAACCTTCCGTTGAAG